TGTGTAGTACGTAACAAATCGGTAAGGAGTTAAAGTCGAGTTAAATTGTTTTGAAAAATGAAAAGTATAAATATGCCTTATATAGGTATGGTCTTACACTATATTATTCAAATATAGCATGATAGGTCCACTTTAAAGAGGCCCTATGGTGTTTTGGGGGGGTTTCACCTTTCCTGTAATGTGTTCTATAGGTTTTGGCGCATGTAAATGGTCTGCAAAGGCTCAAATCTAAAAGTTCCCTCCAGATGGAATTGACTTTGTTTACGTCCATAACATAGTGACATCAACATGTAACACTTGTTCTTTAATTATAAGGGGACTAATGGTTCCCTTATATAGATGCATGAGACTTCCGCCCATAAAGACATCGCTCATACTGCCTAGTTTGTGTTTAAAGTGTGTGTGTCCTTTTCTGAAGTTTCTCTAACAGACATTCCCTTCCTGAAACGCGTTCATTGGACTCCTTTGTTTACCTCGGGAACATAGTGACATCACAAACACTTGCTCTTTTATTATAAGGGGACTAAACACTATAAGTGTGTGTGTGTGTGTGTGTGTCTTTTCTGCCCGTAAGCACCTCTCAGGTTCTTGACGAAGTCCTCCAGCTTCATCTTCCTCTCCGCCTTCACGTTGGGGCTGTACATGTCCGTGTTGAGGAGGATGATGGCGAAGGCCAGGATGAAGATGGTGTCCGGGTTCTGGAACTGCCGGACCAGCGTGGGATTACACACACAGTACCTCTGACTGAGAGGAGACAGGAAGAGCAAGTTAAAACACAGTGTGGTAAAGTAAGTACATTTACTTAAGTACTATTTTGAGGGACTTGTGCTGTAAACGAGTATCTCCATTTTATAATATGATGTACCTCTACTCCACTACATGTATTTAATACCTTTAGTTACTTTACAGATGTGGATGAATGATGTGAAATATAACCAAGTGTTAAATCAGACTTTAGTTCCACCTTTACCAGCTTTGAGAACACTTTAATGATCAATCCTTATAAAAAATATCATATATATTATTCTGAAATGGACCAATCTGTACAATGACTACTTTTTCTGTCACTACTTGTGACGGAGCGGGTCAGAGTGACTGACTCCGCCACTGACAGCCGACACACACACACACACACCAAACATTTCCTGCTCTCTTCCGTCAAAAGGAACCATGACATTTATTATTTAGTGTGCGTTTGTTAATTTGTTAAATGATTATGAGTTATTATGAGTGGTGGTTAACCTGTTTATGGTTGAGTCAGACTTTTTATGTAGAAATGTGGTTTGAGTTGATTGTGTCACCTGTGGACGGTGAGCCTGTGGGAGGGGCCATGGGATCAAAAGGGAAGGTGTTGGTTCCTTATGGATGATTAGTTAGGACTGTGTCACTCTGACGAATGTTGCAATAAGGCAACAGCTGGGACATGTTTGGAGGTGGGTTGCAGAGAAGGCAACCCAGAGCATGTTTACTCTGATGAGTGGTGGACGGTCTGTTTGTGGAGTTTTATTTTGTTGTCTAACTTGTACTGTTTCGTTATTTTATTTTTGCTGTCGTTAATAAAGTATTTTTTAAGCTCAAGCCAACCGACTAGGCCAGTGTTTTTTGAATGGACAATTGAACCCCGTCACAATGTGAAATATCTGAATGAAGTATTGTGGAGCTGAAGAGAAGTCCTGGTAATGTACGTAATACAAAACCTTTTAAGAAATCATTACATGTAAGGCCTTAACACATTTCAAAGAATGTTGTCGTTATATGCTATAAATGAATCCAATGCAAAGCCTAAAATAAATACACATTTGTAAACAGATGTTATGTTTCGGTAATGTATCCTGTCCTTCTTGTTCTTACCAGCCAGGATGAACTCCAGCTTCATGGCGTCAGGGACAGTGATGTGGTCGGTGAACTGAGGGTCCAGGTACTTCAGGAGGTCCTCAACTGCAACACAACGTCGATAAACATGATCAGACAAAACACACTCTTAGATCTGAACACAGAAGAAATAATCAATATTCAAAGTCATATGCACAAAGCTACTCTGTAGAAATGGCAATGAAATTATTCTGACGTGAGCTTCTCCCACAATGCAACATATATAATCAAATACAACAATACCAAATAAAAAATTGTGCAAAAAAATGTAAATAGAATATGATATGTACAAGA